TTGGGGATTTTTTTTGGGATTTTTGGGGATTTTTTATGGGAATTTTTGGGGATTTTTTTGAATTTTTGGGGGGATTTTTTGGGATTTTTTGGGGTATTTTTTATGAATTTTTAATGGATTTTTTTGGCATTTTTTGGGATTTTTTGGGGATTTTTTTAGGATTTTTGGGGGGATTTTTTAGGGATTTTTTGGGATTTTTTGAGGCTTTTTTGGGGATTTTTGGGGGATTTTGGGGGGATTTGGGAGCGCCCGACTGCCCGCGCTGCGCCGCCGCCGGACGCTGCATGTGGACACGGCAGTTCAAGAGGACAGGTGAGCAAAAAAATAGGGAAAAATTTGGGAATTTTGGGGGAAAAAATTGGGAATTTTTTGGGATTTTTTTGGGATTTTTTAGGATTTTTTTGGGGTTTTTTAGGATTTTTTGGGGATTTTTTGGGGGATTTTTTGGGGGATTTTTTGGGATTTTTTAGGATTTTTTGGGGATTTTTTGGGATTTTTTTGGAATTTTGGGGGGAATTTTTGGGGATTTTTTAGGATTTTTTGGGGATTTTTTGGGGATTTTTTGGGATTTTTTTGGAATTTTTTGGGGATTTTTGGGGGGATTTTTTGGGATTTTTTAGGATTTTTTGGGGATTTTTTAGGATTTTTTTGGGATTTTTTTAGGATTTTTTTGGGATTTTTTATGGGATTTTTGGGGATTTTTTGGGGGATTTTTTGGGGATTTTTGGGGTTCTTTTAGGATTTTTTTAGTATTTTTTGGGGATTTTTTTATGGAATTTTTGGGGGATTTTTTGGGATTTTTTAGGATTTTTTGGGGGGATTTTTTAGGATTTTTTAGGATTTTTTGGGGATTTTTTGGGGATTTTTTGGGATTTTTTTGGAATTTTTTGGGGATTTTTTGGGGGATTTTTTGGGATTTTTTAGGAATTTTTGGGGATTTTTTAGGATTTTTTGGGGATTTTTTTAGGATTTTTTTGGGATTTTTTATGGATTTTTAATGGATTTTTTGGGGATTTTTTTTGGGATTTTTGGGGATTTTTTATGGGAATTTTTGGGGATTTTTTTGAATTTTTGGGGGGATTTTTTGGGATTTTTTGGGGATTTTTTATGGATTTTTTTGGAATTTTTTGGGGATTTTTTGGGGATTTTTTTGGGATTTTTTTAAGGATTTTTTTTGGATTTTTTAGGGATTTTTTGCGGTTTTTTGAGTCTTTTTTGGGGATTTTTGGGGGGATTTTCCGGGGATTTGGGAGCGCCCGACTGCCCGCGCTGCGCCGCCGCAGGACGCTGCATGTGGACACGGCAGTTCAAGAGGACAGGTGGGGAAAAAAATTGGGAAAAATTTGGGAATTTTGGGGGAAAAAATTGGGAATTTTTAGGATTTTTTGGGGGATTTTTTGGGGGATTTTTGGGGGTTTTTTAGGATTTTTTTGGGATTTTTTGGGATTTTTTATGGATTTTTTATGGAATTTTTTTGGGATTTTTGGGGATTTTTTTAGGATTTTTTTGGGGATTTTTTGGGGATTTTTTTGGAATTTTTGGAGAATTTTTGGGATTTTTTAGGATTTTTTGGCAAATTTTGGGGGATTTTTTGGGACATTTTGAGATTTTTTGGGGATTTTTGGGGGGGATTTGCTTCTCACCTGATCTCACCTGACCTCACCTGTCCCATCCCACCTGATCTCACCTGTCCCATCTCACCTGTCCCATCTCACCTGTCCCATCCCACCTGACCTCACCTGTCCCATCTCACCTGTCCCATCTCACCTGACCTCACCTGTCCCATCTCACCTGTCCCATCTCACCTGTCTCATCTCACCTGACCTCACCTGTCCCACCTCACCTGTGCTCACCTGTCCATCCAGGTGAGACCCGTCGCATCCTGAGTGTGCAGCCCAGCTACGACTGGACGTGTTTCAGCCACTCCCTGCTCACCTGACCTCACCTGTCCCATCCCACCTGATCTCACCTGTCCCATCTCACCTGTCCCATCCCACCTGATCTCACCTGTCCCATCTCACCTGTGCTCACCTGTCCATCCAGGTGAGACCCGTCGCATCCTGAGTGTGCAGCCCACCTGATCCCACCTGACCTCACCTGTCCCATCCCACCTGTCCCATCTCACCTGTCCCATCCCACCTGATCTCACCTGTCCCATCTCACCTGTCCCATCTCACCTGTCCCATCCCACCTGACCTCACCTGTCCCACCTCACCTGTGCTCACCTGTCCCATCTCACCTGACCTCACCTGACCTCACCTGTCCCATCTCACCTGATCTCACCTGACTTTACCTGTCCAGGTGAGACCCGTCGCATCCTGAGTGTGCAGCCCAGCTACGACTGGACGTGTTTCAGCCACTCCCTGCTCACCTGACCTCACCTGCCCCATCCCACCTGATCCCACCTGACCTCACCTGTCCCATCTCACCTGTCCCATCCCACCTGACCTCACCTGTCCCATCCCACCTGACCTCACCTGTCCCATCTCACCTGTCCATCCAGGTGAGACCCGTCGCATCCTGAGCGTGCAGCCCAGCTACGACTGGACGTGTTTCAGCCACTCCCTGCTCAACGTGTCCCCGATGCCGGTGGAGTCGGCGCCACCCCTGCCCTGTCCCCGGCCCTGTCACCTGCAGCTCACCTGTCACACCTGCCTGAGCTCGGCCGGCGCCGACGGCGGCTGGCAGCACTGCCTGTGGAGCGTGGGGCTCAAACAGGTGAGCGGGGGGAAATCCCAGGGGATTTGGGGGAATTTTGGGGGGTTTTGGGGAATTTTTGGGGATTTTTTTTGGGATTTTTTTTTAGGGGTTTTTTAGGATTTTTTTAGGATTTTTTTAGGGATTTTTTTGAGGTATTTTAGGATTTTTTAGGATTTTTTTAGGGGTTTTTTTAGGGATTTTTTAGGATTTTTTGGGGATTTTTTTAGGGGTTTTTTAGGATTTTTTTTTGATTTTTTTAGGGGTTTTTTAGGATTTTTTAAGGATTTTTTTAGGGGTTTTTTGGGGGTTTTTTAGGATTTTTTAGGATTTTTTTAGGGATTTTTTTGGGGTTTTTTAGGATTTTTTAGGATTTTTTTAGGGATTTTTTTAGGGGTTTTTTAGGATTTTTTTGGGATTTTTTAGGGGTTTTTTAGGATTTTTTGGGGATTTTTTTAGGGATTTTTTAGGATTTTTTGGGGGTATTTTTAGGGTCTTTTAGGATTTTTTGGGGATTTTTTTAGGGATTTTTTAGGATTTTTTCAGGATTTTTTTAGGATTTTTTCAGGATTTTTTTGGGGGTTTTTTTAGGGATTTTTTAGGATTTTTTCAGGGGTTTTTTAGGATTTTTTCAGGATTTTTTTGGGGGTTTTTTAGGATTTTTTTGGGATTTTTTAGGGGTTTTTTAGGATTTTTTTGGGATTTTTTTAGGGTTTTTTTAGGATTTTTTTGGGATTTTTTAGGGGTTTTTTAGGAATTTTTTAAGGATTTTTTTAGGGGTTTTTTAGGATTTTTTAAGGATTTTTTTAGGGTTTTTTTAGGATTTTTTAAGGATTTTTTTAGGATTTTTTAAGGATTTTTTTAGGGGTTTTTTAGGATTTTTTTGGGATTTTTTTAGGGGTTTTTTAGGATTTTTTAAGGATTTTTTAGGGGTTTTTTAGGATTTTTTTGGGATTTTTTCTAGGGATTTTTTTTGGATTTTTTCAGGATTTTTTTAGGGTTTTTTAGAATTTTTTTAGGATTTTTTTCAGGTTTTTTAGGATTTTTTTAAGATTTTTTGAGGATTTTTTTAAGGATTTTTTTACGGGTTTTTAGGGGTTTTTTGGGATTTTTTTAGGATTTTTTGGGGATTTTTTAGGATTTTTTTTAGGGTTTTTTGGGGTTTTTTAGGATTTTTTAGGGATTTTTTTAAGGTTTTTTTAGGATATTTTTAGGATTTTGGGGGGAATTTTTTCAGGTTTTTTAAGATTTTTTTTAGAATTTTTTGGGAATTTTTGGGAATATTTTGGGGAATTTTTTGGGAATTTTTTCGGGGTTTTTTGGGAATTTTTGGGAATATTTTGGGGAATTTTTTGGGAATTTTTTCGGGGTTTTTTGGGAATTTTTTGGGGTTTTTTGGGGAAATTTTTGGGATTTTTTGGGGTTTTTTGGGGAGTTTTTTGGGGTTTTTTAGGGAATTTGTTCGGGTTTTTTGGGGAATTTTTTCGGGTTTTTTTGGGGTTTTTTGGGGAAATTTCTGGGGTTTTTTGGGGAAATTTTGGGGAATTTTTTGGGAATATTTTCGGGTTTTTTAGGGAATTTTTTCGGGTTTTTTAGGGAATTTTTTTGGGTTTTTTGGGAATTTTTTCGGGGTTTTTTGGGGAAATTTTTGGGGTTTTTTGGGGAAATTTTTGGGAATTTTTGGGGAATTTTTGGGGAATTTTTTGGGAATTTTTTCGGGGTTTTTGGGGAATTTTTTCGGGTTTTTTGGGGAATTTTTTTGGGTTTTTTGGGGAAATTTTTGGGGTTTTTTGGGGAAATTTTTGGGGTTTTTTGGGGAATTTTTGGGGAATTCTTTGGGAATTTTTGGGGAAATTTTGGGGAATTTTTGGGGAATATTTTCGGGATTTTTGGGGAAATTTTGGGGAATTTTTTGGGAATTTTTTCGGGTTTTTTAGGGAATTTTTTCGGGTTTTTTGGGGAAATTTTGGGGAATTTTTTGGGAAATTTTTGGGGTTTTTTGGGGAATTTTTTCGTGTTTTTTAGGGAATTTTTTCAGGTTTTTTTAGGGAAACTTTTGGGCTATTTCAATGCGATTTTTTTCATTTTCCAGGATATTTCATCACCATTTTCACGGGGGGGATTTTTTTTTTTTTTTGACCTATTCGGGATTTATTTTTGTTGCTTTTTCCCCCCTAAAACCCCCCAATTTTAACCCCAATTTTAACCCTTTCCTCCCCAGTGCCTCAGCCCCAGCTTCGCCCCCCTCCTCTGCCTCACGGGGGGCTGCGGCCTCCTCCTCCGCGGTGGGGGAGGGGCGGCATCGGGGCTCCCCGGCTTTTGGGGG